CAATAAAGTAAATTCAGTTACTGCTATTATAGCCTGATGCAAGACCCTCCTGTATTGTTTTTAAAAGTTGCTGAAATTATTAAAAAAAAAATATGGAAAATAAGCTATTTTTAGAATTTGAGAAAAGGACCGTTAGATGCACATATATGTAGCTTTTAGATTAATCTCTCTGGTGAGTCAGTGTTTCCTCTTTAATGATAAAAATACAAAAACAGACAATGATTTGTTGTGTTATTTAAACCCCCAGCCAGCCAGACTAAGAATCTTCTCTTTGTGCCATCGTAGTATTGTAGGAAATCATTAAGATTTATGTGTACTGGCCTACTGATTAAAGAATATTACACAATATCACCAGTGTGTGAATGTGTGTGTGAATGGGTGGATCATTGTGTATAGTGTAAAGTGCTTTGGGGTCCTTAGGACCAAGTAAAGCGCTATACAAATACAGACCATTTGCCATTTACCATTTAGTTACTACCAGGATGTCTTAGTTCACTATTGATTACTTAGCACTGAATTTCCAAATGTTTTTTGAGAGTTTTCTTTTCTGAACACACAAGTAAAGGTATCGTGTTGGATTTTTGCTGGGCTTATAACCAGTCAGGTTCCTATCTACATCAGCAGAAATGATTGGCTCACATCCTCTGTGACCTTTGCAAACGATGCACCTTCATTTATCACCTGCCATTACAAATGCACCATACATCCACGTCTATTTTGACATGTGTCATTGTCAGCTTAGCTAATAAATGTCCCTTTAGTGAGGGATGTCATAATTAGATCAAAGGCCATCACCCATGGACGTGCATCCCTTAATCTGGGCAGCTGTTTATAGCACATCTGTATATAAAAAAATCAACTTTTATGTTTGAAACATGACTTTCAAGCTCTTAGATTACTTTAGATCTGAAAAGGTGTCTTAACTCTTGAAGACAGAATGCTTGTTTCATGTTTATCACTCATTCCGTCTGTGCTCCTATGCTTTTATGATTTCTCTTTTTTTCCTCTCTGTAAATTGAGCAAGCTTTGAGTTTTTGTGTTTGTTGGAGAGAGAATGAAAGCAAAGGGAGTGAGAGAAAGACATGCAAATAGAAAGGCTGATTGCCTCTGTGTAACATGGCCCTGAGTGCTGAATACACAGCAACCAAAGTCCTTCATTAACAAGGTAGTGCAGCAAACACGCGTATACAGAAGCAGGAGCGAGGCCCTGCTTGGTATCTTTGACAATGTACTCTAGCTATTTTAGACAGATGGGGGGACTGAATTTTAGTTGGGGGAAATCAATCAGATGGACCTTAATTAGGATGGCACGTATGCTTTTAGGGCAACCAGAACAAGCTTGCTGAAAGAAAAGAAAATCTCAGTGCTGTTGCTACCATTCAACTTTTTGTGTGTGTTGTGGTCCAATACGCAGCACTCCAAGAAAAGAGGACATGTGTCAGGCAAAAATAAAAGTAAAATAAAATAAAATTTCTTAACAGATTTGCTTTCTCTTTATCGCTAGTAGTGCAAGGTTCATGTCTGCTATCATATGAATATAAATATGAAAAATAGACTTACGTGTTTTTGGCCTAATTAAGCCTAAAGTAAGAGTATCAGCCTAAATCTGTTCCGCTATCAGCCATATTCTTGTAGCTATCAATCAAATAACTTCATTATTTTTTCAACGTTAAATATTATTTTTAATTGGATAAATATAAAGTTACCAGTGCAGATTGGTGTCAATGTGCTTAGCAGATTGGCACACACCCAAACTCCTACACACTTACACACATACCCACGTTCTGATACCTCGTTGACCCTGGGCCATCACTCTGATGTACAAGGCAAATGTGCAGGATCCAGGCCCCTGAAAGCCTCAGCCCTGCGTGCACTAAACAATGTAGATGTTGGGAGTCTGAACGCACCATGTATGTCTGTCAGTCAGTGAGACTTTTGATCTGCTTTGTTGTTGCTGCTACTCTTCTAACAATAAGCCTGTCTGTCCTCTGCATCCTCCTAGAGGGCTGCAGGAGGCTGTCAGGCGCCGACCCTTTTGACAACCGCATCTTGAGGGTTTCAAAATGTGGCGACAAAGGGTTTGGGAAACATACATACTGTGTGTGTGTGTGTGCGTACATGTATGTGTGTTATGACTTTGTCTGTCAGTGTGCGTGTGGATGCACGGTTGAAGGGATAGAGGGTGACTGACAGACTAACCAAGCTCCAGAGACGCTCTCTCTGCTCCAGTGTCTGCTTGTTCGTCTTCCTCCGCCCACCCTCTGCCTTCATCTGTGGCTTTGTAAGCCTCCACATAATGTGGGAGCCTTAAAATGACAATGGAAATTATGGCTAATCTTTGTTAAGACACACTCATTACTGCCACGTTTTAGAATGAGAGTCCAATGATAAGACTTGGTCTGCCATGCTTTTCTTCCCCCCCACTCTGAAGAGACAGCCTGACATGCTGGAGTGATGTGTTTTATTCTCACTTTTTTGTGTTATTTTTCTATTCCCGCTCACAGTTAATAATGGTGGCAAACATATGAAAGGATGATAATAGGCTGACAACTTGGGCATAAAAGACTGGCTCCACCTTCAAACGAGCTTTTCATGCAGTTCTGCATGTGGGTGTGTGTTAAAGGGCTGATTTCTCTCGACTCTCTGCGTCTCTGTCTCTTTCCTCTTTTAGTAATCCCCTTCTAAAATATTCATAGCTAATCTGCATGTACAATGTAATTACAGACGGCTCTGAGTGATATCGGATATGGCCGGCAGAACACATGCTTCCAACAAAATCTTGATTTGGTGATTTGCCTGCTTCAATAAATATGTAGCAGACATGGGACGCGGTATGTCGGTTAAGACTCTTTACAATAGAGTGATATCAAACAAACTACGCTTTTAATAACTCTGTCAGCAAACTTATAGCAAGAGATCCCAATCATTTTCATGCCAAAACCCCACAATGCAATAAATATTTTAGATTTTGTCATAGGAGCTGTAATGATGCTGCCCCGTACTTTATGTGCTTAGTGCTCATTAACTGTGGTCGCTGCAGCAGATTAAAACTAAACTATCCCTCATATTTTTTTTCTGTTTTGCACCCCGCCACTCGAACCCCGTTCCCATATTTTGAATCCTGCAGGCTTCCATTTGGTGTTAATGGAACAGTGTGCCCTGTATGCTATTCTTGCAGGTCGATTTTTCACTCGTGCGTGAGTTGGGGGTGGGGTGTCCTTTTAAATGAAGCACTTGGTGTTTGTGACCTGTAATAAATGAGTTTGCAGTCAGTCATGGCAGCTGTAAGGAGACATCTGGGAACGAGAGTGAGAGAGAAAGAAAGGGAGATATTCAGACTTCACCGGGAAACAGTTTATCTATGCGAGGATGAAAAATGGTTGCACCAAACACGCTATCACTTATACAACAAATGGAAATCCTATTGTAAAATTCCCGCAGTTTACCACACAAACGTCAGGGGAAAAAATGCAGCGAGTAAAAAATAATACCGCCGATAATCCAACACAATCGGGATTAATGATGATCTTACTATTCAATACCAAAGGGGGGAAAATGTAAAAATGGGTACCACACACACAATATACACTGTGGCTTGGGAGTTTCTGTCTGAATATTAGGCAAATATTTATTATTCATCTTGTAGATGAGGAAAAACAATGACTGCTGTAAAGAATCAACCAGAAAATCAAACAGGCAGAGACAAAGATAATGAAGTATAAAGCATGTAAAAAGAAAAAAAAGGGCTCAATTTTCATTACCGATTCATCATCGGGGAAAAAAAAATCTTTTTCAGCCTTTAGTCTCATCATCTAAATTCCCAACATGTCAGAAAATACATTTACTTTAATCATCATCTTTTTTGTGTTTATGCCTTCTAAATACCATCCTACTTGTGGACAAATGTTTTGATGTACTACACTCTACAAAACTGACTGCTGGGGCTATTCTGCTAACATTAAAAGATTACCTGAGTTCATAAAAATGGCTTCAGGAGTCTGCAGTGGAATGCTGATTTGAACCAGAAAATAGTGGAAAGTCACTGCTTGGTGGAGTAATTACGGAGTTGAAAGTATTGATCGACTCTCATTATTGTTAGTTATGGTCCATAATATCAAAGTCAAAGGTAGCTCCATGTATAGCTTCTGTTAATTAAATTGTTTTTTAGAAATTCAAGTCCAACATTTACCAGCAGAGTGAAGCCGTGACCTAGAAGTGTTTTTTTTTTTTGTTTTTTTGCTTGAAATGTAACATTTTGCAATTTTATATGAATTAAACTTTCTGGATTTATTTTCAAAATATGAAAACCTTAAACAAAATGATTGGTACTCTTGGTATTCTTGGTTTGTGTGGCTGTCACTTGTATGAAGCAGCAGTCACCTTGCAGCAGAGCAGAAATAGTGCAGCTCTTTTCCCCTGGATGTGAAGGTACATAAAGCACAAGATGAGAGGAGCAGGAAAGGCAATTGACCTTGGCTGCTTTTGGGGGCTGGCTATATAGCCATCAGGTTAGATGCTATGGTTATGCAGTCTGGAGAAGAGGGAGGAAAAGAAGGGGACAGTGCTGAGTACGGCAGTTATTGTTCATAGAGTCGAAAAGCAGATTTGAATTCGTAATTGTTGAATTTGAACCATAATGAAAATGTACTGAAATGGAAATTATGTGTGTGCAGTTGTGTGATTAAATGTGGGTGGGTGGGATGGTACTTTATATCTAGAGGTGCTGACTAAGTATAAGCCAGGTCCAAAGTCAACCCTGCCATTTTACCCTGCTGTGCTAGACTGTTTACCTGAGACAGGGATGCTTTATCTCAGCCAGTCACCAGAGCATGTGTAAACACACAGGGGGGAACACACAGCATATCATGCGGTTTTCAGCTCCCCCTGCCTTTGTTCCAAAACCCCTCTCCCACAGAGAGACATTATCCCCTGATGGCAAGGTGGCAAGGTGAATGGGGTGCTGATGTAAGATTATTTGTAGCAGCCAAAAAGAGACAGGAAAAAAACGAATGCGGGGGGGGGGTTATCAGAATAGGAAAAAACCCCTAATTTTAGTCAGAGAAGGTCAGCCAGGAAGCTGGGTACACAGGAGTAGAGGTGTCTTTCTGTGGAGGATGGGACATGGGTGAGTGTCTTGGGAGTCTTGGTTAAAGTAGTCGCTATCACAGCAGCTGGACGGACAATTAATCAGAAACTGCCCAGGGGGGAAACTGAGGCTCTGACGTGGACACTTTATTCTGCAGGACGCACACACACACACGCACACACACCTGCTGATAGGCTCTCCCATGGCTTTGTCACCTCTTTCTTTGTGCTTCTGTTCTTTTGCTATCTTATTTCCTTCTCGTCGACCTGCTTTCAGTGCTCATCTCCCTTCTTACACTGCTCTTTTTCTTCTTTCCTTTTTCTAATGCTTTCTCTTCTGGCCTTGACTGTCCTTTTGTTTCTTTTGCTCTCCTCGCCACTGCTCTGTTCTTCTCCAACATGTGTTTAGGTCTGCAAACCGCTTGATGAGAATCAGTTGAAAGGGCCTCTTGTGATGTGACAGCTGAGTCCAAAGTCTGTAGGAGTTGCTGCAGAGGGAAGGAGACAGGGAGGTTGGAGGAGAAGAAAAATAAGGTGAAAGAGGGTTGACTAGTGGCTATACATTACCTTAACCACCCCGTCCTTCTTCTTTGCTTTCATCCCTACATTTCTGCCAATCCATCCCTTCTCTTTCCCCATGGCTAGCACCAAGTGATTGATGTATTTGAGTTTGACATGGCCCGGTTCACCCGAGGGCATTAGCAAGGACACTGGTGAGACTTAGCCAGATGCTGGGGAAAAGGCAGACAGAGAAAGTAGATGATGAAGAAAGGAAAGAGCACTCGACACTGTTGACCACTATGGCTTGCTACGGTTACTAGGGTGAGTAATCTTTTTCACGGTACACCTGTCCTTATTCACCTTGCGGCTTTTTCAGTATGGTTCAAGTAACATGGAATAATATGATTGTAACTGAGCGTACACATAAAATTTAATTAGTTAATCAATTCCTTTATCTCTCAGTACTACATGTAGAGACAATTTTTGAATTTTCCAAGCCTCTGCCAAAAAGAACCTACGGTTCACATATTCAGATCAACTGTCTTGGTTGTTCCTCATCTTCAACCTCAACCTCTCGTCTTTTAAACAGTCTTACTTAAAAATATGCTGTTATTATTGTTGTGTGTATTGAAACAGACGTAGGCGTCGCCGATGTCGGGACCATAAGTGCATCTTCAATAAGCCCTCGGTGTCTCTTTCCTCAATTGGAGGCAGGCTGTGTAGTGCTTTACCCTCCAGGGGGGTCTGGGTGTCCCACCAAGCTAACACCCACTTGACATGAAGCCGTCAAAGGGGGAACAAGGCCCACAGTGTCTCCCTGCCCCAAGTGCTTTGTCCTGGAGTAGGCTCCCGCCGTTGCACCCAGCTCCCAGCCTCACGTGACATGCATGAAGATGAGGGAAGCACTTGTCTGCACGGAGCCAGGCAAAATAAATCCAAAAATGGTCCCATGTGTTTACGATGGCAGTGAGTTGCATGATGTATTAAAAAGAAACAGACAAGACAACTCAGAACGAATGTTGTCGTTATAAATCCAAAACTGATCTTGGGGTCAAATTCTCACATGTCTCTGAGGAAAATTATTGCTGTTGTTTTTGAGAAAATTGCCACAATTATATCAGAATTCCATGGGACATTCTCATAATTGTTCTATGTATTAGAAAAAGACAGAAATACGTTTGTAAAGACAATATATTTACTTAATAAAGATTTAAATGGGTAGAAAGATTCAAAAGAAAGCAGTAATTATGAGTAAGATGCTTTTCACTACTGCAATCACAGGTGAAGATGGGATATCCCAGCCATCTGCCAGATTTATTAAGCAACCAAAAGGTACTCTGTAGACCCCAGACAACATATTAACCAACACTAACTAAAACTGGTTTCAGGGCCCCATGTGCTGGAACAAAACTACCCTGTTAAAGAACATTTCATTCTGTTAGCTAAAAACAAAACAAAACAGTTTTTTGCAGATATATTTTATTTATTAATTGGCAAAAAGCAGGAAAAACTCAGGCAAACATAAATCTAGAATTAATGCTTATACCTGGAATGCAAGCGAATAAAAGTCCACTGTCAGGTCTGAGTTGGCGTAAATTAGATGTTCTTCACAGCGCAGGCAACAGAATTCTACAACTTAATGGAGATAAACAACCAGTAGGCTGACAAGTCGAAGTAGAAGTTAACAAGTCAAATTTATCTAAGTTTGGTTTTATGTAGCTTTTTGGAGGTAGGGTACAGAAAAGCATACAAACCTTCTTGAAGCATGTAATCCCACATTTTCACCTGTCTGCCTCAAGTCTTCTCAGTAAATAGGCAGTTTTATCCACTCAGTGTTTGCAATATCTCCCAATCTCTGTCTGCATTGTGATGAGTGTATTGTGTATGTGTCACCCAGCTGTCTCCGAGTCTCAGACTGCCTGGCTATCTGAGCAGCAAACACAACAACAACAGGTATCTTCTGCTCTCCTTCTCACTGCCGCCTACCACACTTCAGGCTTTTGCTCTCTGTTTGGCTTGGCAGCAATGTGAAGTCAATAGGATGAATAAAACATACCTGAATCAGAGCCCTCTACCCTGGGAAATGTCAAACTGTCAGTATGGCTTAATGGGAAAACATAGGGCCGATCCCAAGGGTCAGACAGTTTATTGTGCAGCACCTACAAAAATGCAGTCTTGCCACTTCGTTTGTTTGTATGTCACAAACACACACATTCTTGTTTGCTTTACTAAGTCTCACTATAATGTGATAATCCATTATGTTTCAGAGTGACACAATATTTACCAGAGTGGAAACTTGTCTGCACTCGTGTTACTGTAAACCGCTTTGGGTAAAACCATCCGCCAAATTACATATGGTAAGTGCCTTTCATTCAACTGGTCTGTCACTGACTAAAACCACCAAAAAAACATTTAGCACGCATTATTACACATATTACATGAGGCTCATCTCACCCTGTGGTGGTGGTAGCTAACCCCTACAGCTAATTATCTTTAAATTAGGGCTGAGGTCTAGGTTTAATTAGGCCTAGCTACGAGGAGGGTTGAAGCACAGCACTAACTCCAGCAACTTCAGCTGCCAAACCTCATCAGCCTAATGGAGACTCAAACAACGAGGGCCCTCGGGGGCCTGACAGGCTGGCCTGACTTTCTGCCTTATGCCAACCAAAACCCGAACACACACACACACAGTACACACACTACTATCCGAGCGAGGGCCAGATGTTTAAAGACGAAGTTAAAGTGAGGCAGGTTGTGTCAGTAGCAGGGAAGTTAAAATTTTAATAACATAATGGAGTGGAGTCCCAACTAGAGTCCCCTGTTTTCAAAACTACTAAAAATAGTTTACAGTCATCCTCATACATGACTTGATGAGGCATATAAACATATAGCCTACGAAGCATATTTGTCACATTTATTGGTCTGGTTGTTCTTGATAGTCATCTGGTGTAAGAGATGTTTTCAGCAGGAAAACAAGAGGCAGTAGCCAGTCTTCCATACCAACGCCTGTTTCTTACCATTATTCCCTTCTGCTGGGAACAATTCCTAGACTATCACCAGGAAGTGCAGAATGATGAATGCTTGATGACAGTAGATGACACATGGATGTGTCTAAACACAGTTACAAACACCAGCCGTGTATTATACCCACATAAAATGCATGTATGTTTTGACCCCAAAACTTAGACAGAATATAAGAAGCAGGGCAGTCATAGAATTTTTCAGATTTTCCACCAACCATTTGCCTTAGCATTTCCCTAAATTGCTTACTGTAACTGGAGCAAGCACAAAGCTCTTGTTATTAAGCCCATCTGAAAGTAATAACGAATGCCCAAAAGAACTACCAGACCTTGTTCTTCTTGTTTCCTTAAAATCTTTAAAATTCGTACCTCCTGCTGTTATTCTGCACCACTACACTCCCTACAACACTTTGTTAGGTACATCTTTTAAGTACAAATTGGATCCCATTTTGCTTTCAGAGCTGCTTTAATTCTTCATGGCATAGATTCAGCAAGGTACTGGAAACATTGTTGTGAGATTCTGGTCTGTTGGACACGACAGCATTACAAAGTTGCTGCAGATTTGTCGACTGCACATTTATGATGTGAATCTCCCGTTAAAATACATCCCAAAGGTGCTCTATTGGATTGAAATCTGGTGACTGTATGGACCTGGTATGTAAAGTAAACTCATTGTCATATTTAGGAAACCAGTTTGAGATCATTTGAGCTGTGGAACATGGCACGTTATCCTGTTGGTAGCAGCCATCAGAAGATGGGTACACTGGGATCATAAAGGTATCAATATGATCAACAGTACTCAGGAAGGCTGTGGTGTTTAAATGACGCTCAACTGGTCAGCCAAGAAAATATCACACGGCCCACACCATTATACCACTCACACCTGCCTGATCTTTTTCAGCTGGATGGATCCATGTTGTTTACTCCAAAGATTGACCCTACGATCCAAATGTCATAGCAACAATTGAGACTCATCATATCAGACTATGCTTTACCAATCTATAGTCCAATTCATGTGAGGCTGTAGCCTCAGTTTCCTTTTTTTAACTGAGAGGCCTGATACCCACCGTGGTCTTCTGCTGCTGTACCCCATCAGTTTCAAACTAAACGTGTTCACTCAGAGAATGCTCTTTTTTGGACCATTCTCTCTCAACTCTAGAGATTACTGTATGGGAAAATCCCAGTAGATCCTTCTTTTACAACTCAGACAATTCCCTCTTGCACCAACAACCATGTCATTTTCAAAGTCATTTAAATAATCGCATATTTTCCCCATTTTGATGGGGAAGAAATGTGAAATACACTTGTTGCCATGCTATTAGCAGATTAGCAACAATATTTGCATTAAACAGATATACCTTAAAAACAGTGACTGGTTGGTATATATAGCTCCCTTCCTACCTTGACTGCTTCTCATTCCCACTGCTTAAGTATCAAAACTGAACAATGGTGAATATTCTAACCACAGCCTAAATTCACGAGTAATTACAAACCAGTGGTGTTGGTTTTGATGATGTGCCAAAAATAATAAATTATAACTTAATAACTATAAATATGAAATTTTCATTTGAATGAATAGTTCTATCAGTCTAAGAAAACATTTTAAACTGCTTTATAAAGAAACTCAAGTTTAAACAAAAGCTGTTTGCAATTCCCAACAGTGCTCTGCGTCTTGCCAAAATACTTCTCTCATCTGTCTGGTAACCTGTCCTTTATTCATCAGACAGGGCCAGCACATAGATAAATAAAGACAGGAAAAATTGGCAGTAGGGGTATTTGTTCTGTGGGGCATGTTGGCCTCCTCTCTGCTCTGACAGCCAGTCTTTCTGAGAGGATTGAATGAAGGAGATGGGGCAGTGAAACTGGCAGGATGCTAATGGGTGTGATGCTAATGAGCTACGAGCCAATAAACAAGCGCTACCTCCCTCTCCCCTCACCTCTGATCCCCACTCTTGTTTGTTTAACAACCTTGCAGGTATGATGAAGTGAATTCAGCCAGGATGCCAGAAATTACCAAAAAAACGGTAATGGAAGAATGAGAACTGTAATGTGAGCTAAACGCACTCTTTTTGTACAGTCATAAATCAATTTATCACTGAAATAGAACCTCATCTCCAAAACAGTTGTGTTTTTGCAAAGGTTGTGTCCGTTGTTGCGTTGCTGCTTATTCTGACAACAATTTGTAAAAACCTGGGAACTGACAGCAAATTGTTTTTACCATTTTGCGTGATAAAGGACCTAACCTGCTTATTGATGATTTGTTTCATAGTGTGCCAAATGTTTTCAGTGTGTGACAGCTCTACATTGCAGGCCAATTTCACACGTAGATAGTATCAAACAGTAGTATTACCATATTTGAATGTGGGCGCCAGCGTTTTAATTAACTAACTGGATGATTTCTTTTTTAAAAATACATAAATGAGAAGTAAAAATAACCCTAACCCTTCCAGAGTTGTTATGAAGAATAAACTTTATAGTGGCCAAAAACCTTGTTTTGTACCAGACTGTAAAAAAAAATGCATTAAATGCTGTAAAACTGGGAATATTAATGTCTCGCTTTTGGCCAATGAAGGAATATTTTTGATGGTCATGATCTCAGAATCAATGCTGCCTTCACCATTAATGCAAGTTGCCTATGTCACTAATGTATCTCAGTACCGTCACAGATGAATCATTACCAGATGATCTCTCTCCTGTTAGTCTGAAGGACCATCGTAATTGAAATATTGGGGCAAAGGGGATTTTTAAGACCTCAGGGGAGTTTCCCACAGTTTGAAACAAGCTTGGTCAGAGAAGGTGATGGTATTTCTTAACCTTGTTTTTTTTTTAATGTTATTTATTTTTAGTAGTTAAAAATTAAAACTAATTATAGTTTTAAAGTTGTCCATATGGTATGCTTATTTATAGATATTTATGAATCAGAATAAATAAATGTCAGTTTGATATTCAAGTCCCTGACTTGTTGCTCAGTGATCCTATTAGCTTTTTAAAAAGGCTGCTAATTTCTTTATTTTTCTGTAAGGATTATCATTTTGAGGGTGTATGATGATCTAAAACGACAAAAATGTTGTCAAAACAAAACTTTTTTTAAGTGTGTTGTTGGTTTTAAATTTAGAAGGAATATTTGATATTTGATCTGATGTTAAAAATCATTTATACATTGATTTTCAATCAATTTAACGACATTTTACTGCATCCTGACCAGAACCGTAGTTGTGCTATTAATACAGTTTAATACACTTCATTTTATGAAATCTCCATATAGTACAGACTGTTTTATGTTTAAAGAATATTGTAAAGAATTTTCTAAAAAATGTACATGAGTGTGAGTGCATTTTTTATACTTGAGTGCGCTCAAACACGCCGAGTTTTGCACACATCTATACTTGTCAAGACAATTTCAAGCAAAATGGTGGTACTTAAACATGAGTAGGGCATTTTGGTGCACTTCACACCTGGGAAATAACACAAAATTGACTCCAAAATAACCATCTTACCCTCACCCTTTTATGCTTATAGGTGCTTTTCTGTGCTTTTTACCCTCTTTCTCTTTAACAATTGGTATTGTCCCCTCTTTCTTACCCTGGAGAAATGTCAGTTGGGCGGGCATCGTCCGTCAAACTGGCATCTCTGACAGAGTGCTCGGCTAAAAGGCCATGCTCCGATTGGCATGGGATCCCCTGGCTGCTCTGTGTCAAGCTACAGTCTTCTTTCCTCTCCTCTTCGTGTTGTCGTTGTTGGGAAGGCATTTTTAATAATAATATCTCTCTCCCTGTCTAATTATAATCATTTTTAATTACTTTTAAGAGGAAAAAAAAAGTCAAACATGTAATCAATATGCTGAAGAAATACATGGCAAATTCTTTTACTGGTCTGACAACACTAGTAATTGCTCATTTTGCTTTAGCTTCTCACAGTTCAGTTTGATGGGGATGAAAAGGGACCACAGGCTGTTTATAGTGGGTGGAGGGAGGTCTCAGTCTATCTCCTGCTTTTTTTCTTTCTTTTTTTCCCCTCCTTCCAGTGATTAATATTGATTACTCACAAGCAACTGAATACAGCCAAGTCTCTCTGTCACTTTGAATGCAGGTTAGGCCAACTTGCCTTCTTCAGGATAAAGTCTTTTTAATTAAGTGTGAACAACTTAAACTGACCCATACTAAATGTTGTTTAATGTCTCTGTAGTCTTTCCAACTAAGTGTTCTCCTGAAAGAATTTTGTCTTATCCCAATAACATATTGACATGCGTTTGTAAAATTATGTTTGTACATTTTTTTTCCCTTTAAATTTTCAGCCCCGCTTACATAAAAGATCAGGTCACTGTTGAGGTTAAAGAT